ATATTCTACCTCCTATTCTGTTGGTATTTTAGAATCATAAATCTCTACAGTATGGAAAGAGGCCATTCAGCCCATCAAATCAGCAGCGACCCTCTGAAGAGCATCCCACCCTATCCTATAACTCTACATTTCTCATAGCTAAACCACCTAACTTGCACATCCCTGGACACTGTGGGATGCTCTAACATTCTAATTTAGCATGGCCAATCCAACCAACCTGCACATCTTTGGACTGTGGGAGGAAACGGGAGAACCCGGTGGAAATCCATACAGACACAGGGAGAACATGCAGCCTCCACACAGACAGTCACCCGAGGGTGGAATTAAACCCAGGTCCCTGAGGCTGCAAGCTAACCACAGTGCCACCGTGCCACCCTTTAGTTCCAGCTTCTGTGCCAGCTACAACATAACCAATGTAATAATTTAGCAATCCCATTTATATTACAATTGAAGTCATTGCCCAGAAAAACAAGCTAGTCAGTTGCTGCTCTTCCACTTGATTTTGAGCTCAAAACGCTTCTCAAGGCTTTTGCCAACAAGTCAGCATTAAAATCCAGCATAACATGGACGGATCTGTTAGAAGCAAAGTTTGAAGCCCAGGCCGTTTCTCCCCCTCAGATGGATGTTAAAGATTCCAAGGCACTGTCACAAAGATGGGCAGGTGAAGCTCATCTAATCTCCCCAGAGAGCCTGGGATCTTGCTCTGCTGAAATTGGGCTGCCACATTTGCTGCATGAGTCATCAACGGCTTGGGATGCTCGGGTGTCACGTTAATGAATATATTTACCGTATACTGCAAAAGTGAAAGCTCTTTGTAGGCGAGAGGAGGGAAGGATAGGAGGGTCGTGAAATTTAATGCAGAACCCTGGACAAAAACAACAGGGACTTTCTGAAAAAAAGCTTCAGCACAACAGTGCTGTTAGTAATTAATGGAGAGACTGGGAGCGAGGAGATGCAAGATGCAGAAGATGCCTACAGTTTCCCAGCAGGCACCAAGAACCAAGCCTTTTTCTTTTGATACGTACTGTGAAAGAATGTCCTGCAGCAATGAGTATCTCCTGTGGAAATAAATAAATGAATGAAAAATGGCTTGAAGCCCAGAAATGACAGGAGAGTTCAAAATAATTCATTCAGCAATCTCGAGTACAATCCCTGGCATCACAGTCTGCTTTCTGTTATTTAGCACTGAACCTTCATGTGATTAAGGCACATGCTAACACAATCAGCTTTCCTTCTTACCTAGCACAAAACAGTAACTGAGATGCTGTCAGAAAATTTTCCTTTGTACCTATGTATACTTGCATTCTTGTGTTGGCACAGTATAGCACAGGTCTTGGGTAGTGAGCTAACAAATCTAATGTTCCCACATTTACCTGTATAAAATGTACAAGGCCTTCTTGTAAACTGAGTTGAAACTGTAGGAGTCCAACATTTCATCCTGTGCCTGTGATACTTTTGTAAAAAAACCGGGAACAACTTGAGAAATGAGTGTCAAATTTCTAACCTGCTGCTACTCGTGTCCCTACAACTTTTAAGTATAATGGCAAATCTTTATAAAACCTTAGTAAGATCACAAAAACTCCCCCACAAATTTCTACAATGCCATTCACAACATCAGAGTCTCCTAAAGTGCTTTCTGACCAATTAAGTACTTGTTGAAGGGTAGTCACTTCTGTTGAAAGGAAATATGTAGCCAGATTGTGAGAGGGAATGGTGTACAAGGTAATGTTGCTGGTCTAGAAATCCCTTACGGGACTTGGGTTCAAAAGCAGTGGCAATAAAGTCAGGAATTGGGAGCTAGTCTTAATAATAGCAATCATGACAACTATCATCAATTGTCATAAACACCCACCTGGTTCACTAACATGAAGCTGAGCTACATGTGACTGCATGCCCTTCGTAATGTCTCCCTGAAATGGCTGAGCAAACTACCCAGTACAAGGGGATTTTCTCAAGGAGCTTGATAGGGTAAATTTTGAAAAGACGTTTCCCCTCACGGGAGAGACTAAGACCAGAGGATATCTGGTAAGTTGAATAATTACTCAAAAAAAGTAATTATCCAGATGATATCAACAGTAACGCGTTTTGGGATGCTTGGGTGTCATGTTAATGAATATATTTGCCATATACCGCAGAATGGCATGCAGTCACATGTAGGTCAGCAGGTTAGCGAACCAGCTGGATGTTTATGACAATCGAAGATATTTGTCATGATTGCCATTAATAAGACTAGCGCCCAATTCCTGATTTTATTGCCACTGCATTTGAACCCAAGCCCCTTAAGGGATTACTAGACGACCAAAATTAAGGGGCATTAATTTAAGACAGATGAGGAGGAATTTGTTCTCTCAGAGGGTTGGTTGTCTTTGGAACTCCTTGCCACAGAGAGCTATGAGGGCAGAGTCCTTGTGTATATTTAAGGCTGAGATAGATTCTCAGTAGGGAAATCAAAGGTTATGGGAAAGGGCAGGAAAATGGTTTTGAGGAGTGTCAGATCAGCCATGATCCTACTAAATGGCAGAGCAGACTCAAGGGGCCAAATTGTCTATCCCATAAAAAGTAGGGACAAGCCATCAATGCTGGCTTTGCCAGTGATGCCAACATCCTTTGAAATGATAAAGAAAAGTGAGTTCCTGGAAACAATTCTGTGTCTAAATAATTTTAGGAATAAATAATAATGCAGTTTACTGATGAGAACTCAGTTTTCCTGAAAAATGAATGTATTTTTACGTCATTCTGATTTTCTTCTGGGAAACATTTCATTACTGGAATATAAGGCCATTTGGTCCATCATTACTGTGCTATCCATTTGAAAGAGCTATCCAGTTAGTCCCATTGCCCCTTTGCTATTTTGCAAAATACTTACACTTTTTAGTAATTATTCAATTTATTCTGGAAGTCACTACTGAATCTGCTGCCATGACTGTTTCAGGCAGAACATTCCAGACTATTTTGTATCCATCTTAGCTATAATGTCCCTAGTTTGAATGGATAGTTCTGGGTTAGAAGGCTGACATAGGTCTCTCAGGATGATCGATGTTACACCTGTATCCCAGCATGAGTCCAGTGCTTACAAGAGCTTTAGAGAGATGATGATCTTATCATAGAGTTACTGGGCTAGTAATTCCTTTTTGCAAAAATATAATTTCTTCATAAAAAATCTTTACCAACATTCACTGGTACTAAAGCAGTTCTGTATAGTCTTTGGATATCAAGAAAGTACAAATATTGAAGTTTGACCTTCCCTGTAGTTGCAAGAATCAAAGGCATTTCTTAACCATACAGGACACTATTTACATACATTGAGGCAACGCGAGGGTCTGATAACTGAACAGACCCCTATTATAGGTCAGCAGAAAGACCTCATACAGTGGTCTTTCCTCTCTGCACTTTGACAGGAGCTACTCCAAACTTTCGCACATCCCTGTGCACGTAATCCTGGAACTTGGAATGTGTCAGTCTGTAACACTCGGTTGAGGTCAGCTCTTTGCTCTGGAAGACCAACAAGTGTCAAGCAGGCCAAAGAGAGTCTTTCACCAGAGGGATGGAACTCCAGACACTGTCGATGTTTGTCTCAGTGTGGGTCCCAGGGAACAGACTGTAGAGCAGAGTCCTGCATCATGGTGCTACTTAGACGAACCTCGACAAAAACCACTGCATCTTTCCAGTAATTTCTGACTTTGTCTCTGAATCACTAGCCTAGAGAAAGATGCAGTAGGTTTAGCAGCGTCTGTGGAGAGAAAGCGAAGTTGATGTTTTTGGTCCAGTGACCCTTTTTCAGAACCTTCTTGACTCAACCTTCGAGTTCTGAAGAAGGGTCACTGGACCTGAAACATCAACTCCACTTTCACTGCACAGATGCTGCCAGACCTGCTGAATTTTTCTAGTAATTTCTGATTCTGTTTCTGATTTCCAGTATCAGCAGTTCTTTAATTATTTTTGTTTACTAACTCAGGGACTCAGGCTGCTACTGTAGGTACAAATCCTACAATAGAAATGTGAATTCAATTAGTCATTCAGGAATTGAAAATTAGTTTCAGGCATGGTGACTGGGAGAAAAGGGTCATAAATAAAACTTTAGTTCACTAATATATTTTCTGAATTTTCTGAAGAAGGGTCCAGACCCGAAATGTCAGATTTCCTGCTCCTCTGATGCTGCTTGGCCGGCTGTGTTCATCCAGCTCTACACCTTGTTATCTCAGACTCCAGCATCGGCAGTTCCTACTATCTCTTTAGTTCACTAATGCCCTTTTGGAAAAACATCTTTTACCTGATCTGGCCTATATGTGACTCAAGATCCCACAGCAGTGTGTGACTGACTCTCAGTTGCCTCTGGAATTTATTCAGATACAGCAGATGGGAAGCAAATACTGGCCTAGCCAGCAATGTCCACATCTAAAGAAAGAATGAATTGAAGAAATGGAGAGCAAGGAAGGATTGTAGGAAAGAGGGTAAAGGCTGATCACGCACAAAGTATTGCGCACAGTGTCAGTACAATGTGCTTAACAGGTATCTCCATAGAATCTCTACAGTGTGGAAACAGGCCATTCGGTCCAATGACCTCCTGAACAGCATCCTACCCCAGACCCATCCCTCTACCCTATTGCTGTAACCCTGCATTTCCCATGGCTAACACACCTAACCTATACATCCCTGGACACTATGGGTAATTTAGCATGGCTAGTCCATCTAACTTGCGCATCTTTGCATTGTGGGAGGAAACCGGAGCACCCGGTGGAAACTACACAGACACCTGAGGGTAGAATCAAACCTGGGTCCCTGGCGCTGTGAAGCAGCAGTGCTAACCACTGAGCCACCATGCTGCCCTCTCAGTCAGGTCTGTCTGAGCAAGTTTAAACTTTGCATTGTTGTTTTACATAGTATTCTCTGACAATGTCAAAAGAGTTTGCACAGACCGGATAAAGGTTGCAAACTGAAGCAACTGAAAGGTCAATTGAGGAGGAGTGAAATTTCATTTTTTTTTATTGGTTCTTGTGCAGGAGCGACCGAGCGCGTTGGTTCACGGCCTTGGGGCAAAAGGGCGCTGAAAGACAACGCCCAGACAGGACAAGTAAGTGTGTGGGCAGGAGCGTGGGCAGAGGGTTCGGGGGGAGGGGAGGGGACAGCTGCAGGGGATAAAGGAGAATTGATTGCAGCCAAGGAGACTGCAATTCCTGCTCATGTACTGCCACCAGCTGGACATCAAGGAGAACTGCAGCCTCTGCATTTCTACCAGGCTCACACTGTATTGGGTGAACCGTACTGCTGGGACCTGTCAGAGTTGCCATTTATTCAACAGGAACAACTGCAATCAGAGAGCGAACCAGAAGGGCTGTGCAATCCTGGAGCTCTTCAAACAAGCAAAACACAAAAATAGGCAAGTCAGGTCTGTGCCGATGTTTATGCTGCCCCTGAACGACCTACTTCCATTTCAGTTTGGGTTTCTCCAATTTCCTGTTGGTTTGGCAGTTGTTCATCATTGTGCCACTCACACCTCTTCTAGGTATATCATGTGTTCCCATCACTGTTCTCTTTTACCTCACACCAGTATTCCATTTGTCATTTCTGCCTTGCATCCTTTCATAATTCTTGCTTTTTGCTTCTAATCTAACACCCGTCTCCCATCCCCAGATCCTCCACTTTTTTCAAAACCCGTACAATCCCTAAATTTATCCACTTCTGACGCCCTTGGTGCCCCTCATTATATACTGAGGTTACATCTGTGCGGCTCTTCAGTCTCCTACCTTCCTTAATCATAAGGCCATAAGATATAGGAGCAGAACTAGGCCATTCAGCCCATCAAGTCTGCTCTACCATTCAAAAAATGGCTGATATTTTACTTAACCCCATTTTCCCACATTCTCCTGTAAGCCAACTTTTAACAATCAAGAACCTATCTATCTTTGTCTTGAATACACTCAATGACTTGGCCTCCACAGCCCTCTGCAGCAATGAGTTCCTCAGATTAATCATCCTCTGGTTGAAGAAATATGTCCTCATATCAGTTCTAAAAGGTTGTCCTTTCACTTTGAGGCTGTGCACTCGGGTCTTAGACTGTCCTACTAATGGAAACATCTTCTCCACCTCCACTCAATCCAGGCCTGTCAGTATTCTGTAAGTTTCAATCACATCCCCCGTCATTCGTCTAAACTCCGAGTGCAGACCCAGAGTCCTCAACTGCTCCTCAAATGGCAAGCCCTTCACCCCCGGGATCATTCTTGTGAACCTCCTCTGGACCCCCTCCGATGCCAGCATATCCTTCTTTAGATATGGCATCCAACGTTGCTCGCAGTATTTCAAATGCAGTCTGACCAGAGCCTTATACATCCTTGCTCTTGTATTCTAGTCCACTTGCATGCCAACATTGCATTTGCCTTCCTAACCACCAACTGAACCTGCATGGTAACCAGCCCATGGCGTTACTGAGGTTTCAGACCTGTTGATGGTGGAGGGAGGCGGCCAGAAAGCCACCAGGCAGGTCTTGCTGCTGCCACATCCAGGCTTCAGACCTCTTATTTTCTCAACATCAGCATTTGAAAGCCAGAGGTAATCTTCACTGTGTTAACTATTGCTGTCTCCACTGATGCAGGGATAACTGCCAGCAAATTTATGGTCCTTTTTCTTTCAAAAATCCAGCACCCATCACGTCTTGTTTTGTGAAAAGCAGTTTCTTCTGAATTTCAAATTGATTTTATTCACAACTTTTTTTTTATTCTTTCATGGGACTTGAGCTTCATTGCCTCAGCCCCTGTTGACGATCCATCTCCAATTGCCCTGGAGTTGGTGGAAGTGAGCCGTTTCTTGCAGCGCATGCGGTAAATGGTCACAGCCACAGTGCTTTTAGAAAGGCAGTTCCAGGATCTTCACACACAAAAATAATGAAGGGACAGCAATACAGCTCCAATCAGGATGTTGCATGGCTTGAAGGGATACTGCAGTTGATGGTGTTCCCATGCTTCTGCTGCTCTTATCCATCTACATGGTTGAGCTCTGGGACTGGGGAAATCATGTCAAAGAGACCTTGGTGAGTTGCTGCAGTGCATCTTTCAGATGGTTGCTCAGTACTGCTGTTGTGCATCAGTGTGGAAAGGAGTGAATTGTAAAAAGGGATACCAATCGAGTAGGCTGTTTGTTCTGGAGTGTAGTTGGGGTTGCACTCATCCAGCCATCTGGGGAGTATTCCATCACAGTCCCGATTTCTGATGAGGGACGGGCTTGGGGATATTATTTTTAATAGCCCTGTTTTGGCCTCTCTGACAAGTAGCAACACCTCTTTACTTACCTCATCAAACCTATTTGTAAATATTTAGGAACTCTTAATAGGTAAAACTTCAGCCTTCTCCTCATGACAGAAATGAGCTCCAGTCTGTTTAGTCCTACTCCATGCTCAGAGTTTGAATATTACCCTTGTACTTTTTTTAATTGCAATGCTTTAATATAATGCAAGTTTATTAGCTTAAATTACTTAATCTATTTAGATTGGAATTAATTATCAGCTTATACTATGTCAAAATAATGGAACTAATTACTAGCTTAAACTATTTCTTTTAAATGTTGTAATTGTATCAGCTTCCTGCACTTCTTCTGGCAGCTCATTCCATACACACACCACCCTCTGTGTGAAAAAGTTGCCCCTTAGGCCCTTTTTATATCTTTCCCCTTTTACCTTTAACCTATGCCCTCTAGTTTTGGACTCCCTCACCCCAGGGAAAAGACCTTGGCTATTTATCCTATTCATGCCCTCATGATTTTATAAACCTCTGGATGGGTATATGAATAGGAAGGGTTTAGAGGGATATGGGCCAAATGCTGGCAGATGAGACTAGATTTATATAGGATATCTGGTTGGCATGGACGAGTTGGACCAAAGGGTCTCTTTTCGTGCTGTATATCTTTATGAATCTAGCTAGATATAGTCAAACAACTGAGTCTCCCATCCTTTTGCCTATTGGGGACCACTCAACAAAGACTGGGAGCTCGATCTCCATTTCAACAGCACCAGTGGTTAAACCAGTCTGATAGTGAAACCCAAAGAATTTTGAACAGTCCCCAATATCAATAGTATGCTGATTTGATGTTATGTGCTGAATTGCCCCCTTCCAAGTAATATTCCTCTGTGCATGATCAAAAGCAAGTCGAGATATTTCTGGAAAACAGCCTGTTCTCACACCTGGGCCGTATTCTTGAAAAACAGCCTGTTCTCATGCACTTTTCCGCTCTCCAGCAAATGCTTAATGCTATGTCCAATTAACACTGAGTGATCTGGTTTGGAGGTGCCATTTTTGGTATCAGTCACTGCACTTTCCCTTGCCCTTTCTTATTTCTCTTCGTAGTCATTCTATGTCTCGATCTCTAGTGTCAAAATCATTTCTCACCTGCAGCATTGATCTCTACCTTTGTGATCAAAGCTGTACTGGTCCTTTTCCTTTCTGTCTGCCCTTGCTAAACAAAATCAGAATTGTGTACAATTACAATCTATTGTGGGCTAATGAAGTATCGAGTTTAACACAGCCTCTCTTCTTTTGAACTCTGACCAGATTCTGTTTCTTCCAAACTGCGGCACAATCATCGAGTGTTTGAAGGGTTAAACAGTTGGCCGTTTCTATAGTCCCTGATCCTGTTCTTTCTCTTCCTGACAGCCTTGACCCAGGTGGAGATCACCAGAACATACCCAGCCAAACAGCCTGATGAGCTATCCCTCCAGGTAGCTGACGTGGTCCTGCTGTATCAGACCATAGAGGATGGTGAGTATTGTGCTCTGTCTGCTTACAGATCGATAAAGGTTATTGAACAGGGCAGGTAATGCCTTTCTGGGGGAGGGGAGTGAGGCATATGGTTGGTTTGGAGTTCCTCACTTTCTGCCATTTGGTATCTTTAACAAATTAAAGTGTAGTTGCCTTGGCAATGCTATTGCTCAAGATTGAGACTTCTTATCAAAACATTTCATTTTGCATTCATCGGAACAGACATGAGAATGCAAAATGTAAAAGCACCAACAGTTTATCCTGCACCCTTTTCTCATATGAATTGTTAATCCCTTTGAAATTTGGCATCCTCATGTCTATCCTGATAAGTTTTGGTAGCATTTCTCTTATCAGCAATTGTAAAATACACCAATGGGCTTTGCAGGATGTTTATCAAGCAAACGTTCGCACTAACTGGCAGAAGAATAGGTCCAAAATCTTTGTCAATGAAGTAGGCTTTAAGAAGCATCACAAGAACATGAAATTGACCCAGCTGTAGATCATTCAGCACATCAAGCCTGCTCCACCAATCACTACAAACAGAGCTGGTCTTCAGCCTCCACTTCAATTTCCCACCCATGCCCCATAATCCTTGGTTCACTGGGAGACCAATGCTTCTTAAAGGAGATGAGAGAGTGTAGATGATCTGGAGAGGTTTATGACCCCAGTTATGAGGATACTTGGTGAGTAGGGTCTTTATTCTGCTCTGGCTTGATCAACCATAATCGTTAAAAAATGGAATGAACGAAGGGTGAGAAAGTAAGCGACTGAATTCTAGGGTCATATAAAAAATGCCAACATTTGTTACCATACAAATTTGACCAAAACAAGCACAAGCAATAATGACTAAACACCTATACTGAACAGGAAAGAAAATGATTCTAAATCACAATCACAGGTACATCACCTGCTCAATCTTCTAGTTTTCTGTTTGAGGATTTACTATGAATTCTTGCATACGTGAAAGCCATTCCCACAAGCAGTGCAATATTGGTAGCTTTAATTAAGCAAGATGCATTCAGATCATGAGGAACAGTCAGTTAACTCAGTTGGTAGAGCATGAGACTCAGAGTACACGAGGAGATACTAGACATTCTGTGCGATAGACCTCTGCAATGTTTCATGCCGTTACAAGTCTGGTTTCACAGTGAATAGACAATGATACATACCCCATGGAGTGAAGCTGGTCAGTCATCCCTTGTAGTACTTGAACCAGGTGCTCTTGTGCCACTCCCATGGCCACTGACCTCTGGCAAAGCTAGCCTGGACAGAGGTGGCAGCAGTGAGGAGGGCCTTGTAATGCCACACCTGGGAAAGAAAGCATCTCTTCTCTCCCAAGCAGCCAGCAGCAGAACTTCTGGGACGCATCACTGAAAAAACATGGCCACTTTCTGTCAAGTCTGATATCTGCGGGCAACCAACAATGGATGGGTGATGGTCCTGGCTCTCAGAGAGTGAAGTGCCATCTGTGGGTTTTCGAGTTACGGTGCCCAAAAGTTGGAGCCCAGAGCATCCAGCAGTGGTGAGATCACGCTGCCTAACTTCCCCTTAATGTCTGATGATCCACTCACACATCTCTAAATAACGGTCCTGAAAGGATGTAATTGTGTGAGATACAGAGCCTCAACAGAGAGTTCCAGGTTTCCATGAGCTGTTATGTGAGATGTTTTCTGGTAAGCCAGTCACCACTAAAAACAGCCATTGTCTACCTTCACCCCTAAATTCCATCAATTCAAGATGAACATTGACCTGCAAATTGAAACAAGGGACAGCTAGTGTAGGTTTCAACCAGATCCTGCAAATAAATGGGGAAATAAAGCAGTTAAACCCCTCCATTTCTTCTCTCAGAAGGTCATCATTGTTTAGCATTCTGTCCCCAAGACAGCACTAGAGGCTGGATCATTGAATATATTCAAGATTGAGTCAGCCTGACTCTTGATTGACAAGGGAATCAAGGCTTGTGAAGGCAAGTTGCAAAGTGGAGTTAATGTCACATCAGATCAGCAAAGATCATATTGACTGGTGGTGCACACTTAGAATGCTGAATGGCATACTCCTGCTCCTATTTCTTATGTTCTTAGTAGACGTACCTAACCCAAACTACCCTCAGTGTGAACACAGAGTGATAACCCTGAACAGAACGTTTATCAAGAGCATCAAAGGAATATGTAACCTTCAGTCACAACGCCGTGTTAAGGAACCTCCTATGGTGTTCCATCAGTCTGTGTCCAGGGGATGATAATGCCTAAATGTAATGGATCTGTAGTTACATCAACCAGTTCAGATTGGAAGTGCAGTTATGTAACCGACCTCCATCGCACCTGTAATCAATTCAACAAATTAACCCTCACAGCCAGTTATCAAAGGGGAAAGTCAAATGACAAAGTTGTGAGCTGACGAGTGCTTATTCTTTATAGTATAATGGTTAGTAGCACAAAGTTGAATGACAGCATAATTATCAGATAGAGTTAACTGATTGAATAAATAAGAGGCTACAGTTATACCACAATAGTTCAATAACTGCTCCCCAATTATAAATGTGCAGTTGGCACAGTGTCTGAGATTGATGTAAATTTTTGAGGTTGGTTAAGGTTAGACGGCTATGATAGGTGACAAACTAATGTTGCCTATCTATTGAATAGATCAAAGTCTAAATGCTGGTAGCCAGCATGAAGTTGGACTACATAAGGATTTCCAGTGGAGAATTATACATGCACTCGATAAGGAAAATAGTGCAGGGATGTAGTGAAAGAACGGTATAACAACAGCAAGATTGAGAATAGGTTTGAGGTGTTTGCCAATATCCAAAATATAACAAGTGGTTACGATCTGGAAAGCATTATCTGAGAGCATGGAAAAGAAACATATTCAATCCTGGCTTTCGAAAAGAAATTGGCTAACACGTGAAGAGACAAATAAAGGCAGGGCTGCAGGGAAGGGATGGGGGTGTGTCACTAGCTCAACTTGTTGCATAGAGCTGGCATAGATTTGATGGATCAAATCGCCCCCTTGTGTTATGAGAAGAATCATAGAATTGTGACCATGCAAAAGGAGTTCATTCAGCCCATCATCTCTGCACTGGTTCTCCAAATGAGCGTTATGACTCGTTGCCATTCTCTTGCCCTTTCCCCATTACCCTGGATATTGTTTCCAACTAAATAGCATTCTGATGCCCACTTGAAATGCCTCCACCACAGTTCCTGGCAGTGTATTCCAGACCCTAACCACGCACCTTTTTCTTATCTCATGACTGCTTTCTTTTCATATTATCTTATATCTGTGTCCTCTCATTCTCAATGCTTTTATGAGCAGCAACAGTTTCTCCCTGCCGGTATTGTCCAGATGCCTCAGGATTTTGAAAACTTCTATCAAATCTTCCTTTGGCCCTCTGCTCTCCAAGCCCCCGCAATCTATGTTCCATCCCTTGGAGGAGAGACTGTGCATCTGAAGGCTTATCACAGTGCTGATTTTCAATCCTTAGAGGTGTTATCCTTCTTAAGGGGGAAGCAATGGCCTAGTGGTATTGTCAGTAGATAATGACTCCTGAGATCCAGGTAATGTCCTGGGGACCTGGGTTTAAATCCTACCATACCAGTTGGTAGAATTTGAATTGCAGATTGTTTTGGAATTCAAGTCTAACAATGACCATGAAACCATTGTCAACAGTCATAAAAAGCCATCTGGTTCACCAATGGTCTGTAAGGAAGTCACCTATATATGACTCCAGTCCCACAGCAATGTGATTAATTCTTAACCGCTCTCTGGACAATGAGGGATGAGCAACAAATGCTGGCTAAGCCTGGTGGCGGCCATTAATGGATGATGAATTAATTTGAAAAAGAAATGATTAAACAGGACAGTGAAAACCCTCCTGACTTTTTACAGGCTGGTACGAAGGTGAACGTCTGCGAGACGGTGAGATAGGTTGGTTTCCGATGGAGTGTGCCAAGGTCATCACTTGCCAAGCCACGATCAGCAAGAACATGCAACGTATGGGCCGCTTGCTGGGACTGGAGACAAATGTGTAAGAGAGGGTAGGAGCCTGCACAGGTTACGAGGGGCTCGGAATTCTCTGCTCCGCCATTCACTGAGGACGACGAGCTCGTGGCCTCACCAAGGGTCGATCCTGGGTCTTTGCATCGTCTTCCTGGGAGAAAGTCGCCCAAGAGAATTCTCTGTGACGTGGACTTCCACCACTTGAAAGGACCATTGGGGTGTCGCAGGGGGCAGAGGTGGGAGTCGCAGATCATTAATTGTAATGCAGTCAAGAAAGTCCTAGGCTGAACGCCTTGTCTAATGTTGCACTTGGACATCTGCAAATCATCTTTACCACCACCCAGTGAAGTGGAGGCTGGATTATATTGTTTAAGTGGACGGACAAGGAAAGAACATTGGACAGAGCAGCAAATCCAGAAGTTTGTTTTTAATTGAAAGCAGCAGTTACCAATTGGACAGGTATTGTAATTTCTTCATGTAAATAATGGACATATTTTAAGCAAAGGTATTGCTGCTGGACCATTTATCAAATACTCAAAACAATGAAGTCAACTACAGGGATATCTCCACTGTGTTTCTCTGTGGTCTTGTTAATGTGATTACAATGCACTGAATAAAGATGCAGCTTATTATAAAAACAAGTTCCAGTAAGAGTGAGGAAAGAGGAAGATGATTGATGTTTAACTTACAGCCAACTACCACATCGATTGCCACCTTTTAAGCTGCTTTAATACTCAATTAGTTCTGCAAGGGGAGTAAATTAAGTTTGAACTTGCCGATTTCAAATATTTCATCATCTGGGGTTTGTTGTATTATAAAAAAAAATCAATTCAAAGTAAAAAACAACTTACATCCTCATAGCATTTTCACAGCCTCAGGACAAAGAACTATACAGCCAGTGTAGGACTTCCAAAGTGTCAATGCTGCTATAATGCAGGAAACATGGCAACCAATTTGTGTACAGTTAATTCTCACATACTGCAATCTGATATTTACCAGATCAGTATTGGTTGAGGGATCAAGACTGGCAAGGAAGGGCACCAGAAAATCTCCTCTGTTCCTCATCCAAATAGTGATGTGGGATTTTTTTGCACCTACCTTAGCAGGACAGATAAGGTCTCGGCTTTTATGTTTCATCTGAAAGATGGCAAAATGATACTGTGTTTGCAAAACTTGTAACAATATCCAACATAAAATGTGAACCTGCAATTGGAGAATGTTTTCTGGACAATCCAGAGTGCACAAACAATTATGATGACAACTAATTTAGGATGGTCAGGCAGGATCATAGTGCCGCACAATTGTATGTACTGGAAATTACATACATTAATATAAAGGATGCTGTTATTTGCAGACAGAAAATGTACATACACACTGTGCCTGTTTCAACTTAACAAAATAGGTGGCAGCCATTCGCTGGCACTGTCTTAACTAGCCGGAGTTAACCTACCTGATATAAAATCTAAACAAAACTTGGCAGTTAACAGTCAACCATTATTAACTAGTGCATTCTCCATGGCAATGCTTCTACCAGATTCCACTTGTCAACCAATCAGCACTCTTCTCTCATGTAATGTAATGAATTGATATTCTTGTGAATTGTCCTGATGAGTGCAAGACAAAACGTTTTAACAATTTTTTTCTCAGCAGTACCAAAGTAGTACCTTTTAAAGTGTAATTATTGCTGTAAGTCACAGCAGCCAATTTATACCTTGTACAATTGTTATGATCCCAGCTGATCTTACCGATGGACAAATCAGATCCCAACATAAAATGTAGCTTGAAAGATTATCCTTAAAAGTTTAGTATAATTATCTATCACAAACATAAATACACAAGTCTAACAAGTCTACAGACTTTCTTTGGCAGTAAAATGGACTATTATTGCATAACAGAAAATCAAATCAAACCAAGCTGAATATAGGAACAAAAACAGAAGTTGCTGGAAAAGCTCAGCAGGTCTGGCAGCATCTGTGAAGAAAAAATCAGAGTTAACGTTCCAGGTCTGGTGACCCTTCCTCGGAACTGATGGTAGCTGGGAAAATGTCGGCTTATATGCGGAAAATGTCGGCTTATATGCAGAAAATAGGGAGGGGGTGAATATGGCTGAATATAGAGCAGTTTGGGAGGTCATAAAAGGTACAGCAAAAAGTCTCATTTATCCTCCAACACCATTTTACAGCAGCCCAAATACAGAGAAATTATCCTTCTATATCAGATCTTTAGGTTTGACTTAACAGTTTTTCCCTCGTTCTTATCCTGTGAAATCTTCCTCCAGGAATACTCTCAACGCTGAAAGCTTAGACATTCTCAGTCTTTTAATAATCTGCCAATTTCTAACCAACCATTTATTGTCCAGAAGTGTCACGAGTTTAAACTTTTATACCAAGGTAACTGACTTTTTCCTGCATTGTCCTATAATCCTTTCTCCGAGAGAAACTGTATTTGCTTCTGACCACAAAGTTTTCAATCTGAATTTTCTTTAACTGCAATCAATCCTTCATTATTCTAAACCAAAATTAAGCAATGCCTTTTAATTTTCACTCCCCTGCCCTAAACAATTTTTCAGCATTAGCACTCCGGGAGGCTTACACTCACTTGCTGTGACACACAATGGATTAGATCACTGTTCCAGCAAGGACTCTCCGAACGTTTTTAAAATGCATCACAAAAATAAGCAACACCCATATGCCACCAATTTGGAATCCAATCTCTAAAAATATTTATCACACATCTTTTATCTTATATTTGAGTTCAGAAACAGAAAATTTCTTTCTTAATTATTAGTTGAGGAATAAACGATGGCCATGGCTTTAGAAGAACTCCATACCTTTACTTCAACATACTTCCATGATATCTTCTAAGAGTCCACCTGAAAAGGCACTCAGGATCTCAGTTTCGAAAGACTGCATCTCTGACTGTGTAGCACACACTCAGTTTTGCACTGAGGGGAGGTTTACGATCAAATTTCTAACACAAATCCTGAACTCTGAATCATCTGATACAAAGGCAAGAGCGTTACCCATTGCTCACACTGAGTAAACAAAGGTGTATGAAACAGTAGTACACTCTAACCACATGACAAACAGATACATTGATTTCCATTGTTCAATAAAGTAGTGGGGGAAAAGCACATTTTGTTTGTAATTTATAGTAATTCACAAATTCAATCTCAACGCCCATTTGGAGAATTCCCTTGTAATAATGTTTTTCATCAGGTCTGTATCTTTTAGCCTTCTGAAAGAACAAGTTCTACCAAGTGGAAAGATGAGAGATGCTTGGATTGTTGGCCTTCACAGAGTCATACAGTACAGGCTCTTCAGCCCAACAAATCTGTACAACCAAAAATACACCACTATCTACAGTAGCCCCACTTTCCTGCCTTGAATGTTGTGATACTTCAGGTGCTCATCCAAGTACTTTTTAAAACGTTTTGGTGCTTCTTGCCTTGATGATCCTCCCAGCAAACTCTGGGTGATTTTTTTTTCCTTAATTCCCTCCGAACCTCCTGCCTTTTACTTTCAACATGTGTCCCCTTATTCTTGACCTTTCAACCAAGGGGAACAGCTACTTTCTATTCATTCTGTCCATCCCCTCATAATCTTATACACCTCAATCAGGTCACCCCCTCACCTTCTCTACTCCAAAGAAAACAGTAGTAGAGAATTTCATAGATTCAGCAGCCTCTAAGTCTACCTCTCAGTGTGAAAAATAGTTTACTCGAAATCTTGGGACTATGACCCCTTGTAATGCATCCTCCAGCAAGGAGAAACATCCCAGCTTTCATTCTACCCAATCTTGTCAGAATTTTATGTTTTAATCAAATCCCTCTGAATGCTAAATTTGAGTGAATGCTGGGCCAAATGGAATTTAGAAGACTGAGTGGTGGTATTACTGAGACAAAGAGATCATTAGGGGTCTTGACAGGATAGTTGCTTATGGAATGTTTTCTTAATAACAAGCTAGAACTTGATGGGGTGGGGGGTTTGGAGTTTATAAAGACGGACCAAATGAAAGCACAATTCTGTGATGCTGGAACTCCAAAATAAAAACAGAAAGTGCTAGATAAACTCAGCAGGTCTGATAGTATCTGTGGAGAGAAAAATAAAGTTAACTTTGGAGTCTGATAAGATTCACAATGTTAACTTTGTTTCTCGCTCGAGAGATGCTGCTAGACCTGCTGAGTTTCTCATTAGAACATAAAATTAGGAGCAGAAGTAGGTAATTCAGCTGCTTGAGCCTGCTCTGCCATTTGGTATCATGGCTGATCTCGTCTCGGCCTCAACTCCACTTTCCTGCCTGATGTCCGTAACCCTTTAGCCAATTACTTATTAAAAATGTCTATCTCCTCCATAAACATACTCGATATCTTTGCATTCATCACACTCTGGGTAGTGAATTCCATTCACGACCCTTTCAGGAAGCAATTTCTTGTCTGTTCATATCAGCTATCCCTTATTCTAAAACGTTGATCTCTCATTCACATTGCCCCACAACAGGAAACATCCCCTCTACATCTGCTTTGTCAATCTCCTTTGGTATCTTGTACACCTCAGTCAGATCTCCTCGTGTACTTCAAAACTCCGGAGCACTTTTGAGAGGACTTCCTGCTTTTTCTAAACAAAAAGTCTCCCACTAAAGACAAGATGAACTGCTCAGGCCAGGAACTTTGAGGTTCCTTCTTCCAACCTGAAGGTATTGAAGCCCTTCAATTATTGCTCACATTTAGGTGGTTGAGCTCAATATGAACCAACAAGCATTGCCTTCCTAATGCATGTGCCTCTATCTACAATGGTGGATCTGCACCTATCAGCTGGTAGATAAACTACTGCCACTGGTTGGAGATTCTAGAACTGGGGACATAGTCTGAGAATTAGGGCCAGAGAAGATGACAGGAAGCACTTCTACACACAAAGGGTGGTAGATATTTGGAACTCTCTTCCACAAACAGCAGTGGATGCATGACCAGTTGTTAATCCTAAAGCTGAAATAGATACATTTTTGTTAAGCTAAGGTTTAAGAGGTATGGGCCAAAAGCAGGCATATGGAGTTAGGCCGCAGATCAGCCATGATCTCATTGAATGGTACAGCAAGGCTCTAGGTGCTGAATGGCCTACTCCTGTTCCTGTATAACACTGACATTCAAAGGCTCCAGGTTCAAAGTCTCACCCCAGAATGAGTTATGGTGATTCTTAACCGACAAGAGAATGGAGTTGAAGCCTTTAAGATCTCATCCAATAGCACAGCAGGTTTGAGTAGCTGAATGGTGGAAAAAGCTATTGTGGACAAAGGCACATAGATTGGGAAGATCCTGGCTTAGCTCCTTGATCTATGTTGAGTTCATCAATTTCAACTTGGCCAATAATTGGAAGTCTTCAATATTCCTGGGCTTGGGAGAAAGAATTTCAGCCAATGTTCCTGTCCTACTCAGTAACTTGGATTAATTTATATGTTTGTAATCAAATGGAAGTCTTTTTACTCTAATTGTCGGTCTTTACATGCTTGATATCCTGAACTGAATGGGAATCAATTGGATCGGAGCTTTGAAGGTTCATTTCCCACCGCCCCTGTCTGGGATGGAAAGTCTCAGTTATCAGGAGAGACTGGGTTTGTTTTCCTTGGAGCAGAGGAGACTGTA